TATATTATTTATATTATATTATTAAATAAACATTTGAATTAAAGTTGAATTAAATATATATATAATTGAAATGAATTAAATATATATATATATATATATAAAAATAATTATTTAGAAAAAATAAATTCTATAAATTTTAAATAGTATCATTTGTAATACTGATTTATTTAAATCTCATTTTCATATATAACTAAATATTAAAATTTTACAGTTTTATTCGTATCATATATTTATGAAAATATCTCATAATTTTTCATTGTTAAATGAATGGAAATATTCAACCAATTTCATAGCTGGAGCAAGTGCTGGTTTTTTAGCTACAATTATATCATTTCCTTTTGATACTATAAGAACCAGATTAGTAGCACAATCAAATAATTATACAATTTATAAAGGAATTCTTCATTCTTGCAGGCAAGTTTAAAGTTAATAAAAATAATTTGCATAATAAAATTAATTGTTATTTTATAAAATATGTTTACAGTTGTATTATAGAACACGAATCTCCAAAAGTTTTTTTTTATGGATTATTACCAACTTTATTGCAAATTGTACCACATACAGGTTTACAATTTGCATTTTATGGATATGTGAGTGATAAATATAAGAAATATTATAATGAAACTAACATTAGTTTTTACAATTCTATGATATCTGGTAGTGTAGCTGGTCTATTAGCTAAAACTGCAATATATCCTTTTGATCTTAGTAGAAAAAGATTGCAAATACAAGGATTTAGAAATGGCAGAAAAGGTTTTGGTATTTTTTTTGAATGTAAGGGACTTATAGATTGTTTAAAATTAACAATAAAGGAAGAAGGAGTAAAGGGATTATTTAAAGGTTTAGTGCCAAGTCAATTGAAAGCTACTATGACAACAGCATTACATTATACAGTATATGAGCAAACTCTAATAGCATTAAAAGCATTAAGATCGGATATTTTAGAATAATAAATTTGTATTTATATATAATTATATATAATATATAATATATATTAGTATTATATTATATTATAATATATAATATATTCTCTTTTTATTGTTATATATAAAAATATACATAATGAAAGATATATATAGATATATATTACATAATGTATATAGTACATATGTAATGTAAGACTATAGTAAAACTAAAATATAATCTTTGATTTTTAATCATATTTGTATGAAGAATTAAGTTATAAGAG